CCGATTTAATTAGTTTCAAGTAAATATCTTCATAAAGAGTGGTATTTGACTTACTCTTGCACCGTCAACCAATCTGTAAGTATTGGCATTTGTTTGTCGGTGTCAAAATTCATCTTCTACAAAGATACGTGGATCTTGGTTAAAATGGTTTGTAATGGTATTCTGTCGGTCGATAATTATTCACAGATCATAGCTAAGTTACGAGACAGTGACAGCTCATCTGAGCGACACATTAATTAACGGATGGCCAGAAGGGAGCCAAGTATGTGATCAGGTTATAGTGGATTTTAGGGAGGATGAAATAAACGAGCTTCTACAACGGATGGGATCCCTGGGAAGGTGGATTGTTCGTAACTGTGCAATTTAAATGACTGTTAGACAATTTACTGACCACCGAGATGACATATTATTTTGATACCATATGTTGGAGAATGAAATTAGGAAAACGAAGATATTTTCTGCTCGTTCCCGAATAACATTAAAACGAGTCATGTCGATTGCCGTAAATCAGACCATTAAAGCGCAAGTAATACTCGCCGCAACCGTTGCCGATGTTGCCATTAGCCGGAAATTTACTCACAGAAAATCAAATTATTTTGTTTTAGTCTTTAAATACACTGATGTACACCAGTCTTCCAAAATAAAACAGGCCGGAAAAACGAATTTTCAGCTTCTATTTTTCATTTCTCAAGGGCCCCAATAAATTTAGAAAGAAAGTAAATCCTAATCCGAAAGTAACCCTAAAGTGTAATATACTAGCTAGTACTGATGAATAAAATGATACCGCATAGAAGCCATTCCCTTTATAGTAACCAGACAAGTGACTATCAAACCTCTAATAACTAAGGTTAATGGGTTGATAGTTGGTCAAAACATCTCAGAGATACCAATCATTTTAATTCTTATTTTATTTAGGCCCTATGTTTCCTATTGCTTTATATTGCTTATAGAAACCTTCGTGTGTTTTAGAAAAACAAACTCGCGCCTCAACTATCCGGTTCGTGATTAGGATAAAAAATATTCGACCACTGTGACGGTCTCTTCTGTCGACAGAACGGAGGTATCTACTGACACACAAAAATAATTAATTTCCGTTTTGCCTAATTTCCCAGTCAAAAATTGAGCGTCCTGACTAGCCTTAAATTAATTTTCATACATATTTTCAGATATATTGTCTTCATGGCAAAGTATTTGTTTAAGAGTCATTGTTTCAACCCGTTTACGTCACACTAACATATTCATAATCATGATAAAAACAACTTGTTCTCAAACTGCAGTCTGTTACATGAGGCATGCCGGCTTATCGATAAGGTCAAATTGTTACGGAAGATACAGCCTTCGTTGTGGTGGGTTGCTCAGTTAGTTTGATATTTTATAAGGTCCATAGACCATAAAATTATGGGGATGGGCAGCGCTTCTCACACATGAATGCAAATAATACTAGTAAGATCCATATTATCAATATGACAGTTGCCGCGCTTTATAGAGGTTGCGTTGCAACGAGAAACTGATAGTCCGAATAAATCCATGTGAGTTTGAGAGTTTCTATAAACCGTGACCTAGTATCTCTCTGGAATATCTGAGGCAATAATGATGGCTCAGGAAGAAATCACCCGTTGCATATGCGTTGTTGGTGGCATATCTCTAGGTGGCTGAGAGACAGGGTAAGTAAAAGAGAGGACGAGAAGCAAAGCATACGGTGCCCATGCCTGTTGAAATTGAGTCACTCGTGGTGGAATAATGAATGTATGAGTACTTGGTCTAATTTTCTATTATCAAGGTACTTTTCAAGCAAGAGCATTCTAATAGATTAAAGAAAACTGTATAAATGAAAGTGGTTCAAAAAGAAGCTGAGAGTATAGGACAATGCGAAGCTTTAAAACATAGTACTGAAAACAGTATTCTGATACAGAAATGGCTATCTCCCTTTTTTGTCAAAGCCATTTCAACTCATTTTTATTTTTATTGATTTTGTAGGCCCATGAGCAGGCTTCGCTTGCAGCGTATTGTCCAGTTTTGCTTGTAATAGGATTACTTGGTAAAAAGTGAAACCAATTCAACATCATATACAACATGGCATACTCAATCCAAACTGAAATTCTGGATGATGAGTGCAATCGGCACCGGCGGTGATAGACACTGTGATGAATACGAAAATTCGACCCCCAGAACTGGATTGTAGTAACCTCGAATTGCGGTTTGCTCGGATGGAGCATTATTTACGAGATGCAACATTAAATCTGCGGGAATTTCGTACCAAGATTCACGATCTGTCCGCCTACCTTCGGCTTCCAAAAATGTCCACAACTTTGTACGTATTGCAAACAGAATAACTGAAAGAGGTCAGCCAGAACGATCACGTGCGGCATTTAATTACTTATGTCAACCATCGTGGAGGAGCATGGGCCAACCATCAGCATTCTCCATCTAACTCTGTCCTGATAAATTCTTTCCAGCTTTTTCCAGTTGATATTCACCCTTTTTACGTCTGCCCCTAGTTTTCGGCGGTATGTTATTTGGCTTTCCTCTTTTTCGTTTCTCTTCAGCATTCCATGTTGGGGCTTACCTCATGATGCGGTTTGGTGATTTCCATTAGATTGTTACTTGAGGTATCCAGCCAACAGATATTGAGTATCTTGCGCAGATAATTGTGTATAATTACTTGAAAAATTTTGAGGTTGATTGTGGCTGTTCTCCTAGTTTCAGCTCTGCACAGTAGAACTAATTGACTAGACGCTCGTATTAAAGATTCTGACTATAATATTTATTGTCAGTTGTTTCGAGTTCCATATGTTCCTCAACTGTGAAAGTGCTATACTTGGTTTGTTAGTCCTTGCCTTTACTTATGCTACAAATCCCCCTTGTTCATCGATGATGCTACCCAAATACGTGACACTTCCCTACTCTTTGCAGTTTCTCCACTAAGTATTACTGGGTTCGTGTTCTCCATGATGTACTTGAGGGTCTTGGTTTTTCCCTTGTGTGTGTTGAGGCCTAATGATGCAGAGGCTGCTACTAAACTATTTATTTTGTCCAGCATTTGTTGGTGTGTAGGAGATAGGAAGGTTAGGTCATCTGCAAAGTTCAAATCGTCTAGTTGCGTCCAAGCTGTCCATTGTATTCCGTGATTCTTCTCAGATGTACATGTCTTCACTATCCCGTCAACCACCAGGAGACAGAGGAGGAGGGAGAGTAGGCAACTTTGTCTGACTTCGGTTCTCACCCAAAATGCATCTGTTGGCTGACCTCCGTGAACGAGTTTGCAGTGTAGTCCATCCCATAAATTGCGTATGATGTTCACGATCTCAGGCACACCACAGTGTCAAAAAAGGTTAGATAGTGTTCTTCTATCCACACTGTCAAATGCTTTCTCATAACCAAGGTGGTTGATGTATATTGAGTTCCATTCCATTGGTCGTTCAACAGTGATCTGTACACGATCGATCCTCACGGAATCCAGCCTGTTGATTCTGAAGTTGTGCGTTTATTGAATCTCTCATCCGATTCCATTGAAGACTTTTCCTGGTACTGTTTTTAGTGTGATGCCTCCGTAATTCTCATACTTGTCTTTCTTTGGAATCTTGAAAAGGTGCCCTACTTTCCATTTCATCGGGACTTGATCTTCCTTCCAAATCTTCTTGAATAGAATGTGAAGGATGTTTGCAGTCACTTCTGTATCTGACTTCAGTGTTTCAGGTGGTATATTGTCAGGTCCTAGTGCATTCCCGCTCTTCATTTGTCTGATGGCAATCCTAATTTCTTCGTTTTTTGGTGGAGTAATATCTATGGGAACGTTTGTGGGTGTTGCTTCGATGTCCGGTGGATTCAATGGAACTGGCCTATTCAAGAGTTCCACGTACGATACACCACACACAAAATCAGGAATGATCAAAGACCCGATCCTAGCTGAACGCATTGCGTGTGTTAAAAGAATTTAAACTGACTTCTAAGGCCGTTAAACAGCTAGAAAAGCCAGCTCAAGCATCTACGTTGACGTATCCTAATTCCTATTACACTCTCGTTTTGATGGTGGATGTTTCGGACAAAGTAGTAGGCAGCATTATTAACTAACTGGTTGAAAACGCCTGGAAACCGATCGCGTTCTTCTCAAAACGACTCACTCAAGCAGTGACGAGATACTCTCCCCATAGACGCGGACTCGCACTACACCTAGCTATTAGGCGTTTTCAACACATATCTGAAGGCAGAGAATTCATGGTTTATATGGATCATAAATCACTAACCAATGAATTAAAAGCTAATGCCAATGAATATCATATCATAGGCCGTGACATACAGGAGGTAGACACATTATCTCGGCTAGAAATGAACATGATACAGCAATCCACATTGTGGCTCATAAACAAAACCTCATTCATTTTGTCCACAACCAATTAAGGGAGAAAAACAAATGGCATGAAATGTAGGGATAGTTAATTTTAAGAAGAGAATCAAGTGATTAGACATATTTGTATTTACATTTGTACGCTGAGAACAGAAAACCGAAGGCCTGTGTTAGCCCCTTTCAATCCATATTATGTTAGACTCTGGTCTTCATTTGAACAAGTCAATTACATGTGGGGATGCTCCTTCTTCGAGTAATAAGTTTTTTGGGAAAATCCGTATACCACGATGGTTTTATTCGTTCTCAGCTTTTGACACTTTTTCTGTTCTAATCTATTGGTTTAGAAAAAGAGGATATATCAGGCCCAAAATTATTTCCTTATATCAAAATCAGATCACCTACCGTACATCTGAAGAGAGAGTAAAAATATCTATGTTCTAGGCCACTCTGGTTCTGCTGAACATTATAATTCTGGAATTGCACAGGTAACTGTCCTATGTACTTATTTTAAGATATTAGATGAAAACGACAGCGGTATATTTAGAGAAAGTCTGCAACCTTAAAATTACAAATCTCAAGGTGAATTTGTTGTTTGACACAGTAAATATTACCGCGCTTAAAACTAGTCTGCTGGGATCAAAACTGTATTTTACTGATGGGGACAAACAATTTGAATTGTAGTGTGTCGTTTGAAATACCAATACGAGACGAGATCCAGTCTCCTAAGGCGTTACGCCTGCTTTCATCTCCGAATTATGTTCGGAATGATTCTGACTTAAATGAAAGGCTAGAGAAAGCTCGGGAAAGACGATCTAACGTTCTGGCTGTAAGTTGAATAATAGGGATATATACTCTTTCAGGAAACTATAAATCGAAATGAGCAACATGTCCATTTAGCTAAGTCTAAATGTGAACAAGAGAAAGAGAAGCTCGTAAATCGATCAAATGAATTAATGGAGAATCTCACGGAGGATTTGGCACAGAAGTCGTCTAGGCGGCAACAGATTATCGACAAGATAGTTAATAGGAACAAGAAAGAAGTAAAAAGATTCGTTATAAGTTGTCTTTTAGATTGAGAAAGCAAAACAACTTGCGGATGCCCGTGCTTCCCCACAAAGTATCCTGCTTCGTCAGATCAACGACGATATGTCCAATAAGGAAAACAACAGACGTTCTCACCTACAAAATATAGTTCATCAGTGCCAGATGGAGGTAGATCCATAGTTATGTATTTATATATTCCTCATAGCCTTGTCATTTTTTAAGTGGATTTAGAATTCTGGGAATCTTAAGATGACAAGCATTAGTAATTATTTTCACCGGCGAAACCTACTACGATACCAACGCATATAAAACGGTATAGTCAAGCCTCATGATAGCGTCTTAATCAGCCTCAACGTTCCTCAATGACACGAGTTTGATTACAGGTTCCACAGCAAACCCAGTTGACTAACATCAAGCCTAGTATGTGTAAACTAATCATTTACTTCTTAGGCATAAATGTCCACCGCACTGTGAATTCTCACCCAAGTAATTCTCCGCAACGTATTGCTCCTTTGGTTTACGACATGAACCAAATCTATTCCTAAAAGGCTATTCCTATCCTATCATGTATATTGCTTTTTACTGGCTGGCCTTCGCTTGATTTTCACTTCAGAAAGGTTAGAAGAAACCTCCGAAGTGAGAAAATGCTCATTATTTACAAGGTAATACTTAGTTATCAGTTCATAGGGTAACTGTTGTCATTAACGTCGACCCTTCAAAATAAACCAACAGTCATATGATGACGATTTGGAGTCCTGATTAGACTCATAGCCTCTTCGGGAGATAACACAAAGGGCAGTGTGTTGGTTTAGAAGTTATTTTATTGTTCCCTACATTTAATCTCTAACGAATTATGTCCTCCAAAATAGTATTTATTAATCAGACCGAATGTACTTATTGTTTGCCATAAAGATTCTGCCTTTCCTAAGTAGCGAAAACCAACGTAACCACTCACTCCACTCTGATTCGTTTTGTGCTGATTAGTTACAAATTGTGGTTGTTTATTTTTGTTGCTTAAAGCATTTAAAGCGCATTTAATAACTGCTTCATGTGAAATACGCACACTTATCTACATGTCCTGCGTATAAACTTGTTTCTCACTCCTAAAATATTCTTGTTCCTAGAGGTAGTACTTATGATATTTTTAACCTTGAGGTACTCGGACTGTTTGTTATTCTTGTTACATATTCCTCTTAATGACTATTAAGTTGACTTCTTACTTTCTGCCTTACTAAGCAGATTTATGTTTTTTTCCAGATAGAGAAAGTCGAGTCTGTGCGACCTCGCCGGTCGATTAACGACAACAGCATGGAATAAAATGTTCAAAAATACCTATCCGCTCCCTAATATTTTATATTAAATATCACATCCCACTCCTTTGAAAAGATGTTCTGTATTCCTTAAACCCCAATTAATAAACGTAGAGTGATATAAATGTGATTTCCTATACTTTCTTGGCTGGTTAGTACGAAGACAAAGACGAATTCGATGTTCCGTGCAATCCACCACCAATGTTCTAATTAAAACAGTGGTTACTATCACGTAATGATGGTACTTTTTGTATTCAATACCTTATCATGGAAACCTCAACGCAAAATATACGATATTTGCTAGCTTTGATATTGTCTCGACTCAATTCATGGTCAAACCTTACCAGTGACTCTACTGATGTTTTTGTAATCATAACGCATTCAGTGCATTTAATTCTAAAGGATAAAGAGATAAATATACTAGATGCGTTGGTGTCTGAGCAATAAACATCACCGGTGTGAGTTTTCTAAACAAAAATGTTTGAGTACATTACTAACAAGTCAAAAGATATGAAGCAGAGCAATTTATTTTAATGCTCATAGTTTTTTCGAAAGAGTAGGCAAGGTATGATAGGGTATATAATCAGGATCTGTAAAATAATAACTGGTGTGAAAGTCATAGCATCCAATTAGTACATCGTAGGAATTTGAGTTGGATGTTTTAATTGGTCTTGTCTGTACGTCGATTGACTGGGCGGAGAATGTGCTGGCCAAAAATCTGAAAAAGAACGAATTGAAATATTAGTACTACATACACATTAAACCGAATATAAGAGGCATATGGGATTTATTTGTTCGAGTATCCTCACTTTAAACACCTACAGATGGTCCAACCTTGACTCTACCTACTGTGAAAAACTAGTTAGTGAAAGTAGCACATGGTTAAATTAGAATTATATATATTACTGCTAAAACCGTGCACATCCCAGCTTTACTTCAGTATGTCGCGAACTGATTAATGGGAAGGTTAACATAAATGGCCGTCAACTATGTGATATTCTTGTTAAGTATTAATGGCATATCTAGGTTGTTCCCTAGGTGTTGAGTCGCATACAATCATTTGAGTACTTAATACATTAGCTGATATGAAAAGGACGATGTAGACAATGATATTTCCGTATTGTCCCAACGTCACTACGAGTAATATTCTATGGGTGACCTTGGCGAGGTCAGTCGGCTACAACGTAGGACCAGGGATATATGTATGTCGGTACAAGTTGCCATACCTCATTAACACAACAAGATGAACACCGGATTCATAGAAGTAGTTAATTCAGTGGTGGTAATATATAAAAAAGATTGCATATAAGGATATTGTATAGGAAGAAAGAATTAGTTCGTATAAAGATACAAAGCAATTTTAATCTCACGGTTTAAGGGAAGACAGAGAGTTCATAAACCTACGCCATTGTGATCGATTCTGAGCTATATCGCCTTGACGAAGGTGCATTATCATAGCCTAGACAATTTACTCAGAGAAAACCTTTACAACCGTGATAATGCCGGATGGCAGTGTACAGAATAGCACAGTTAACTGCTTAGTAGTTAGATTGCATGGTACTACCACTTTTCCTCCAGAATTTCTCCAAAAGAAGCACCAGCGAAATAGCCGTCTGCATATTAAGAAATAGAATGGTATGTCGGCTTTGAAGTGACGTTTACTTTATAGTATCTTCCTCGGCCTCAGGTCATTAGTATCGTCTATTAATAATCATATTCTGTCAGTTCGAATGTTAGACTATAAGATTTCCAATATATATTAGATGTGATGTACGCTCAGTATCCCTTCGATAGGATCAGTATGACAAAAGAAATGACATACCAATGAATGGGGAGAACCGTTGGGTTTACGTTTGGGTGACCAAATATCTTCACATCCAGGTCCTAAACCAGAGTCAAGATGAATATTCGACTGACAGTTCTTTTCTTCATCACTAATAGAATTGTCCATTATAGAACGAAGATGTGAAAATTTAGAGTGTAGTGCTCGAGCGATAATTGCACATGGATCAGAGCCACTAGAGCAAAAAACAAATGAACACAATTAATGGTTATAGAACTGCGATGAAAATTCGCTCTCACCACACATACGAAACATCCTCACCTGATTGTGGGAGACTGTTTTTGTTTTATCGGTGTACCACCAGGTGATCTTGGTATTGAACGTAGTTTAATAGATCCACTTTGTAATTCTTTCAATACTTGTGACATATCGGCGGGATTTTGTGACGTCGACAAATTACTTTTTATTGGTGTAGATGTTTTATCCGTGGAATTATTCTAAAAAAAGATATACAAAGTTATTTTATAACTGAACAATTTCTCCTAAATTAAGAATAAATAAGAAAATAAAAGTTATTCTCATGTCCATAGGTTTGGTATTCATTCCAAGTAGTCCCCTTATTAGTGTGAACCCACAGCTCTAAATTCATAATTTACTTTACTGAACGTCGATTAATCACCAACATTATACCAAAAGTGAAATTCTCCGGATAGCAATTCATCGGTAGTTCAACAGAAATTTGATTCGTATAAAAACAAATAACATTCACTGAACTACTAATAAGAAGTACATTAGTAGTTGAACGAATACAAAAAAAATAATTACATGTTAAATTATTCATCCAAAATACAAATTATATGCATGATCAATAGTCAACTACAATTAGGAAAGATTAAAAGAATAAAGACCAATATTCAATGATCAACTAATGTAAGTATCTCAGTATTCCAGGAGGTGGATCACTGTCCAAATAGTTCAGTGGCAACGCCTAAGACTGAAACGTGGAGACTCGTGTTCGAACTCACTAGGAATAATCACTTCCTTGGAGATTGGCAGTTTCATTTTGTTGGCAAATGGCAACTACCACAAAAACCTATATCGAACAGTGTCTTCTGAAGGTTAAACTAAAATATAGTGCACAAGATGTCGGATCACTTAGACTAGTAACTTATAAATCAACAGAGGTTTATCAATATTAAAGACTAAACAAATATGACCATGACAACTACTCAGTGATTTATGAATGTAAATAGACTTTTACCAGTATTAAATGTGACAACAGATTCGGGAATGTTAAAATCCAAGAATATATAGCTACTTCTCCCTGAGGAATTCATAATATTAAACAAAAGAGAATTTAATTGTTTCCGAAGTGAATATTCGACGCTTAAGCCGGGTTGATGGTTACGGAAGGCCAGCTAGAGCAGTTGGAAAACTCTGATTCAGAATCAATGGTGTACATGGGCCCCAAGATCCTGAGGAACAAATGGATTATGGACCTATTCTTCGTCACTAGCTATCGTGGGACTGCATCTCCTAACGTTGTTCTACTGCCTTGTGGATCAGACCTCTTGGGAGTGAGTCACTTAGAAAACCACCTACTTTGGTTTGGGAACTCTGGAAGTATCCCAGCCGACAAAAATTCATTGATTTGTGTGGCGCATATATATATATATATATATATATATATATATATATATATATATATATATATATATATATATATATATAGGTACCTCTTTGAACCAATGTTTACGTGTTTAAATAAATAAGTAACAAAAAAACATGGTTAAATATTAAAAATGTTTGAATATGTATATGGAAAGGAAACAATCCAATGCAATAATTATTTGATATCCTCTCTCTCTATCACACGCACACACGATAATGAGTACCTTTTCCGACAGATGGTAGAAAAAAGGTCCATCATCAAATACATTGTGATCTTAAGAAAATACTCATGAGAAATAATTAAAAAGGACAATTTTATGCTCAAAGTCTACTCAAAATTGTAGCATGAAATGTGATGTATACAGCAATAAACCTTGTCGTTTGGTCTAACCGAAAAAAACCAACGATTAATCATGAAAAATATTCCTAGCCGTGGATGAAAAATGACATACATAGAGAGGACTAAATTTCTTTCAACTATACCTTTTTACTTCTTAGCTTTGCTTGCAATTGTTCTCTCCAATTACTACTACCTCCTTGTAGTGCAGGTGAAGAAATCATGAGCGGTGGTGGCGGTGGAGGGGGTATTGGTGGTGGAGGTAGTATTAATGATGAAGTTGAACTAACTGAAGGAATAGGGAATTCTGACAGATTGTTGTAAAACTTTGTTTTATCATGTTGCATCAGACTAGGTGATCCTGTGGCAGCAGTAGTAGTGGCAGTATCACTCTCACCATCTGCATCTGGACGATGAAGAAAACGATCTCGATCTACGTCAGATGTGCTTGATTTACCTAATTCTTGAGCTAAAATTAATTGAGCAATTTGTGATCTTAAACGAGAAAGTTCAGCTTCCAATTGTGAAATACGATTTGATCTAGATGATGAGTGAAAATGTTCATCAGAGGTGTTTGTAGTGTCTGAAGTACTATTATTATTATCATACAGTTTGCCATTATTTTTGGTAGAATCTCTAAAGCGCTTTCCTATTTGAGAAAAAAATGTTTTTCAGCATGAAGAAAAAACGTTTACGATTAGTAAGTCACTACTCACCAATAATAAAAATAAACATGCTTACGACAATTGAAAAGTCTGGCAAATCCAAATATTCAACTGTCAACTCAAATATGTGCAGTGGTGGTTGTTTGCACATAAGAACAAGTTGGAAGAAGTCAAGCCAAAAACGGATGTATTATCAGTGTTCATAAAGCCATTGATCAGTAGTCGGGTGTGAGTCGTGCAAAGGTGTTGACTTTCTGTTTCAGGTCCATATGATGATCACAATGGATAGCGTTTCGAGACTTCAGCTATAATACAGCTTGAAATCGGTAGCAATATCACAGATGTATTCACTGTTTATCTTCTACCAGATCATTAGTTTTATTTCTGATAAATGCGTCTTTTTTATAACTGTATTCACTGTTTTTGTTCTTACTACTACAATTATAGTAATTCAAAACTCCATTGTTTAGAGTGCATGTTTTTTCTTAGAATCTACGTGTTATTTATTGAAAAGTGACTGATATCAATCACCTATTATATCGATGGAAAAGTGCTTGAGTAATTTTGTTTTAAAATTTTATCGTATGCAACATAAAGAAATCAATTGTAAAAATAAATGAACAGCATTTTTCCATAAGATTGTGAAGATTGTTAAGTTTCATTGAAATCATGAACCGATCAATGTTAGGCCACCATTGAAAACCCGGAAGCACTGAACAGTCGTTTCGTTCCAGTAGTGTGCATCCACAACTCTGCACGTGGGCGCCCAACCAGCGCTCCCAGGTTTTCAATGATGGTCTAACTTGGATGGTTTCATGATTTCGATAAAATTCAACAGCCTCCAGAACCCCATTTTGTAAGAATGAATTTCATTAAACAACGAAATAACATGGACAGATGTCACTCGAAATGGATATGATGACATGGTGTAGAAGAGAAATTTGTATAGGACTGAGATCTTTTGGTTTAGTACAAGTGCCTAATTGGAAGGGGTGGGTCGCAGGAATCATGCAACTCAATGACATGAGACGTTTTCAGAAATGATTCGGAAAAAACGCAGTGGAGGACCCACTTTAGTTTTCTTTTATATTCTTTATAAAAGGATTTTTTACTGATTGAACGAAATTTGTTTTGTTTGGATTCCAAATGAACTGATTTTTTAAAATCAAATATCACTTTCGTCGACTTATAAAACTGATTACTTGGTCTTGATCTCTTTCTATTTTCTTACAGACATTGTTATTTTACGCTGTGTAGCGCATTCCTTCGGTGAGATTTGTGACTAACAACTCTATTACTAATGTGTAACTAGTCTTCTTTCATAGTGTAACTTTGTTTTTTGTGCTTTATTTGTTAATTGTAAACAAATTTTTACCTGTCCGACCATATTGAACAGGTTATCATTGTGCTTGCCCATGCTAAGAGTTGATTGGTGCTGATGAGTTTAGCCCTATTGAATGTGAGTTTTAATTTAATTGTTATTTATTGTAGAATCATTAATTATTTCTAGATATATTCATACATTACCATTTTAAGAAGCGAAAATAATCTTCTGACTCTAACTGACCTCAAGTATGTTGATGTCAGTGAATCTAAAATCTGTTTTACCGAAATGTTTGTGCTATACAAGCAAATTAATAAGAGGTATACCTCCGTGATTAGTTCAATAGATAAGATTATCTAACAGATGAATGTCATAATCCAGCAACACTTCAAATATTTCATATTCTTATGATCGTGACATGAATTACTAAGGCTGGTTGTACAAGTGATTCTAAGTAGATAACACTTACTATGAACATAACATTTTATGGAAACGATGAGTGTATGTTACTGTTATATCCCGACGAGAATATTGAAAGGTAACTAATGGGATCTATCGATGGACTAATATTATACGTATATTCTTATTGTATGACTATTAAGTAACTATATTATATATGTATTCATTATAAACTTTAGTTTGACCTATTGACTATTATCATACGACTTACTATTTTTGAGATATTCCCAATTTATTAGTAACAATCTCTCACAATCACAGCCACTTTGGGCTTGATCTTGTATAATTGTTATCTATTTATGGTATGATGTGATTTGGTTGGTTTGTACATAAACCCATTATGTTTGAAGTACATGATTCGGTTAGTGAAGGCTGATATTGGTGTTCTGGACCTAACAGGCAGGACTAGGCAGAAAAAGAACCAATAAGAACTCTAGGCTGCTCGTGCTGATGTATGCGTCATTAGTTGGTCGTATAAGTCAGAGTATCTAAATTGACAATTGTAGTTCGCGATAATCGTATGAGCTAAGGACATAGTAGTTGCACTTTAATGTAATTAACACTGGTATGTGTTACAGTACGTGTGCAAAAAAGATCTTTACGAATGATCAGTCACGGAGCTATGACCAATCTCATGTTTGCCTAATCCTTCAATGCTGGTCGCATTCCATGTTGCAATGTAGTCATCAGTCTGAATGACCTAAAAACACCTGCACTATGCTGATAATGTTAAATATTTGTAAACAATCGGCAGGAAACATTGCTCAATCTACGCTTCGTGCTACTTTACACTTGTTAGCAATCCTGAGAGAATTGATGATTTATGCGGGATTCAAACTCGAGTTGTTTAATTTTTTAGTATTATGAGATATAACTACTGAACTATTGTAGCATTTGCTGACCACTGAGTAGTAGTGGCCAATGTCATGTTTTTCTAGTCCTCTTTAGTGCTGGTATATGAACAATTTGTCCACTAAACTGAGATGTTAAGTGGTTGGAACTAATCTGTAGGATACCCTAGATGATGATTGACCCTCGTAAGCAAGGCGTACCTAAAATCTTGCGGGAACTGATTCGCTCTGTAAGATTCCCTTAAGATTCAACTTACATCTTGTAAGTGTCGGCTAGCACAAGACCTAAGCTAAAAGTTCCTGCCGATCAGCTCTAACCATCTATCATCATAAACTTATTTTTGCTACAGTACGCAAAATTTTACATTCAATTTATAAAAAATATACAAAAGATAAACTCGCATACCTCTTTTATTTTTTCGACGATATCTATAATTATTGTACTGTAATTTGTTTGATGATTTCATAATTAATTTCTGACTATCATTATCACCAGTATTGTTTTTTAAAGATTTTATTTCAGAATTTGGGAAACTAGTATATGTATTGGAAAATGAATCAACATAATACACTGGAATATTAGACTCTTGATCATTTTTAAAATTTTTACGTGAATTGGAAATAGAAAATGAATTTAAAACAGTATCTCGATTGTCATTATAACAGGGTGAAGAAGTTAGATATGAATTTCGATTTTGTTCGTCATAAGTATCATCATTACTGTTAATAAGATCTGTATAACTTGAAGTATATAACTAAAATAAAATAATATGTAGAATAAATAATAAAAAAATAGATTAATTATTGTGATCATTAAGTAATGAAATTATCAAAAAATTTTAATAACTACTAGAGAATCGAATTTCTATCAAAAGGAATTCTTATTAGATCCATTTTATAATTTACTGTTAACAATACTGATCTCTTATTCATAAATTTATTTATTATTTATTAATTTTAACACATAGATATTGGTACGAGGAGGCACCAAATACATATGCGCCACACAAATCTCATTCGATGTGTGAGGGCTGGGATACTGCCCGGGTGCCCAAACCGAAGCAGGTGTTTTCTGAGGGGGCCACTCCCCGAGCCTTCGATCTGAACGTCTGATCCGCAAGGCAGTGGAGCATCGTAAGGAGATGCAGTCCCATGGAAGCCGGTGACCAACGATTGGTTCATACGCCATTTGTTCCCGCAGGATACTGGAGCCCATGTGCACCATTGGTTTGGAATCCGGTTAAAGCGCCGGACACTCGCTTTTCGTCCTCTCATTTTCGTAAACAACACCCCCGCCACGAGGACGCAGTGAATAGGACTTCCCTGGCAGAGGCTATATACGCGTGGTCATGTGAGAGCATTTGGAGAGGGAGAGCGGACTCTCCCCACTCTCGGCCGTACCAGGGCATTTGGGGGCTATTCATAAATTAATTAAGTATTAAGAGATATAGGGGAAGATCCTTGCAAATTATGTCGTTAAACGTAAAATGTACACTGCAGATACAGTCAGTAACAACGTAAAACTTCGTACGTACGTACATCAGTTCGATTTGCCGTACCACATTAAAACAGAGATGCAGTTGTCGATTCAAATCCCGTAGTGGTAGAAGTAATAAGAGTATAAGCAGTAATCGGAAACTTTAAGGTCTGAAGATGTTATTCAGGGAGTATAATCCAGAGAAATAAACTTGGAAAGAGAAAAAAAGGGACGTGAAGAATTCAGAAGATTAGAATTTGGGAGAACACAAAGAGTGGATGCACATGCGCCATTGCAAACGATTTCGAGCAGATACATCTCTCTATGATAATAATTCGAGATAGGGAATCGATATTCTACACACTTAGAGCATGAGCCATGCCCATGTAATTATTATCTGTTTATTATATTTTAATGTTTAACATAGCGCTACTGATGTACTTGTGGATAAGACAAATGGTTCCACGAGAGGGGTGACATTAGTGAAAAGTGATAAAACATTGAGGGAGACTAAGATATCAGTCTTACAGAACTACCTTTCAAACCACGGTGTCATTTCATTAACTAACCACCTCTATTTCTATTCTGCCCTAGAGTCGGTGATTAATTCTTAATACAGAAGCCACTGGGATGATATTTACGAAACATTCCCATTTCACCAAGGCTGGTGTTTCAAGACGATGACACTAATTGCATCCAAACAAATTGCCGGGTTACATTACTACCATGATCTTTCAACCGGATGTCATTTTAGTGGTCCTTTGAAGATGGCGATGACGAAACTCCGCCAGTCGTTAAACATGAGCAAGGTTAGGTTTAATAAACACAGGAAGGACCTGCTCTCATTAATAATAAAAAACCGAATATGCTTACCAAATATAAAGTGTACATAATTTTGTACATGAAAAATAAACATAATAAGTTCAAGTAAAAATTTTAAAAAAAAATAAATGAGCTTACCACATTGGAATCTGATGACGAACACGCACAATCATCATACTGTTTTGCATTTTTACTTAATAATACATGACTATAAATATTTAATCTCGGAGCCAACGAACCGGTTGGTAAAAATTTAACTACATATCGAATTGAGCAAAATGAACGTACGTAAGTTAGCTAGTGAGGGAATAAAAACAAAACACAATTGATTTAATAACAATGATTTTACGTTAGACATAGGTAATTGAGAATCAAATTAACAAAAACCGCAATTTTTTAGTTTATTTCGATCTAATTTTATTGTGAACTGCTGTCAGCGATTGCAGATTGCTCAAGAAATGGATGTCGAACGTCCAACAAATACAAATACTATGAATATTCATACTTGTTCAGTAATATCTTTGAGAAATCACTCATTTAGGTGTGATAGATCCTTTGTCTACATGCTTTCGAAGTTACAGGTCTTAGATAATGAAAGAAAATCATTCAAGAGAATTGGAAACAAAAAATGGACAACGCTGATGGGAAAGCTATTTCTTAACGAAAATTAATATTTTGAATGGAATAGTAGCTGAATGAGGAAAGTGGAGGAATCCCAGTAGCCAGTTTAAATTATATTAGAGAAATGTAGGTGGTTGATAAGTTGAGGTTCACGAGATAACTGATATCAATGGTTATCATTCTCAAGTGACCTAATAAAAAAGGGTATCTCTACATACATCTTTAGCTTTTGATCAATCTATAGGTTGATGACTTCCGTTCTGCTTAACATCTTATGTTCACCTTGAGATACTACTGTAGAATGCAGGATACTACCTAAACGATGCGGTTGTATTAGACCATACGTTTTATTTTCTATCTATTGAACAACTAGAATACATTTCGTTTCGCAAAGACAAGAGTAATCAACAAACACACAAACCATCAATCGAAAAAATGACAAAATCAGTAATCAAGACATTAGAGCACCAGTAACATTCTTATACATAGGTATTTTTTAAATAATGAGAATTCTAAGGGTTAAGCTAAATTATTATTGGAATCTTACAAAATAGTGACACGCAGATTTATACCAGACTTACCAAGTGTTGCAACATCATATTCAACGGGTATGTAGACATATAAACTGGTTGAATGTCATTTTATTCTGAAAAATAACTTCTGTAATTGTAATTATGCATTTAGTCAAATACGAAATATGTTGATAAACAAATACTGAATGAAAACGAAATCCACTGACTAATAAAAAAGAATGAAGATGTTTTAGCGAAGAAAACTTTCTTTTCAATTATATCAATTTTATTGAGCTTTACAATCAGATTTAAGGGTAATCTTTTACATGTATTAGTCAACAATAAAAGAAAACAAATTTACCAACGATAACCACAAGTATTCAAGTAGGAAAGTTCATAAAAATGAAGTAGTATGGCATCGTTGGATATAACAGTCTACAAACAAGGGGGCGTTAATTCAGAATAACTAGTTGCCGAAATTTTTCAAGTAAGACGTGAAATGGATATTGTATCACTTAGTAAGATAAAACTTATCGCTTGTTGCTCGAAGGACAATGTTCTGTAGGTTGGCCAAAAAACAGTCTGTTACAAGATGACCCAATGATTCCAGTGCAACATTATTTGTCTAGTAGTAGATCTTTTAGGTATTATTTGCAACTTCGATGTTGACTTTTTCATGGTCAGTATGATCGTATAAAAAATAATTTGTTTCGTGAACAGAGAAGTGGTCTGACGATATCACTTTTTTTCCAATACATTGACGTTGGTTGTTGGATTCATGAAATCAAGTCTTTTGATTTCGTGATAGAGAACACTATCGTTCGAGCCACGATCGAGAAAATCTTGTTTTTTATAAAATATGTATGGGTGATCTATTCATTCTTTGTGACGAAAAGTGACCATAATAAGGTACTAAAAGATTTCAATAACTGCACTATCCGATCACGTTCAAAATAAAACCTCGTTCGGATTCGGAACTTTATTTTCTTGGTGTTTTACTGAGACGAAAATCATATGGATCTCTACGATTATCGATATTCATAAAGCCACCCTGGAATGAGCAGTATACAAATTTCCAGAGTTGGGTGCTGTTGAGTAGGAACAGAAATCTAATTTGTCCTCTAGCCTCAAGAACAAAACAAATACACACGGAAGACGCAATCGAGGATGAGCTGAATAAAATTCGAAAAATACTTCAGGAAGATGGTTTGAGACCAAATTTATTGATAATATCCTGGAATCAAAATGCCAAGTTAAAAGTACTCTCATAGGCTTAAAGAAAGTATTATTTATGAACAAAGGAGATACGGTTGCGGAGATAAACAGACTATCCAGATCCCTAAGAGACGCTTTATTCGGCGGAGCTCCGAATTCTTTTCTCCAGTAAGAACTTCATTCGGTTAAGTGTACAAGATAAACCTCCGCTTTGGGCTACCTCAATGTGCATTTTTCACTTTACTTGTTTTTGTGTAGGAGTTTATACTAGCCATACAAAGTTTGCACACATTAAACAAATATCCGAGCATTATGTTGTATAGCCACCTAAAGAGGGATGCAAATCATTCAGCGGCTCAATCCTTGAACATATGGTTAATCCTCGTCACGTGCAATTACGAGAAGTGACATTCAAGATTATCTACAAATTTAAAAGTAGTTCGAAAGCTTGGATAAAGAATTTATGCACAGCTGAAGCTATAGCAACTCACCGCTTTAAACCTAACCTGTGTATGAAAGAGTCACGTTCTGCTTCTTAAATTTTTCACGGTCTTAGGGTCCCTCCTAATTCTGTAAGTCGTAAGTGCTAACTATTACCTTATTCACCAACTTTTTTTTCTTTCACGTAGAATAAAAGCTATTTTTGGATTTATCGTATAAACAACTATTTCTTATTACGTCCGAAACTATTCGAAGCTTAATTCCTTGATAACTTTTGATCATTTTGCTAAGTGAAAAAAATATCCATTTTATAAAATACTAGGAAAATTTCGGCAGCTTTGAAACAACGCCCTCCCAGTTAAAGACTGTTATATCCAATAATTAGAGTCCTTTAATAATCTTTGTTTTATCAAATCAAGTAATATCGCTTCATTTTTATAAACTTTTCCATTTAATATTTGAATGCTTCTGATTGTTTTTGATAATTTTTCAATGATTTAACACCTATTTTCTACATGTATATCCGATTAACTCGAAAAAAGACAAGTCCTGTTAACGACGCTTCTGAAACTCAATTAATTAAACACCTTAGGCAAAAAATAGAGGATTGTGAAGCAGCATTTCGGAAAATATTTTAGTATTGCTGTTTAAAAATTTTCAGTTTATAAGTAAAAATAAGCTTTATACAGAGCAAGAAAATGTAAAATTATATTTGTCAGTGTTGAGGCTTAACGTTAGATCAAATAAAGAATAACTAAATATCACTCAAGGTTTCTTTTCGGTAGATATGGGATGTTAACTATGGACAACATAAATACTAGTTTCACGAAATATATTTTGAATGCTCCTTATGGACATGATGTAAACGCATCGGAATAGTCATTTGATGCAACCATATGCAAGAATAGTTTACACATGCCAGGGAAGTCCTACTCACTGCCTTCTCGTGGCGGGGGTGTTGCTTACGAAGTTGAGTGGACGAAAAGCGAAAGTCTGGCGCTTTAACGGTGTTGGTGGATATGGAGAGTCCATCTAGGGGAGTTGGAAAACCCTGATTCAAAACCAATAGTGCATATGGGCTTCAGGGTCCTGAGGGAACAAACGGCGTATGAGCCAACTGCTGGTCACTGGCTACCATGGGACTGCATCTATAAGTGAACTTGGCGAAGGTCAGTCAGCTATGAGCCATGTCAATCAGAGTCTCCAACCATTGGTTACGATAGTCACACGAACCCCAACCAAGTAGTCTGCATCTACCAACATGGCTCAAACTAGAAGTTAGTGACTTTAAGCACTGCTGACACGTTTTGGTTTGGCTGCCCCTAACTCTCTTTTAGCCATCCCCAACACTAGTCAGCATTGCGCGTCGTGGTAATCGGTGTCAAGGCATACGCAACACGTGGCCCAACCATCTCAGTCGATGAAGATTCACAATCTTATCAACTGATTTACCATCATTCCCTAATACCCTGCGTCTAACCTCACTATTACTTACCCAGTGACCCCAGCAGATGCGAGCAATATTTCTAAGTCATCTGTGGTCAAATACTAGTAGCTTACGAGTATATTCTACTCTTAATGGCCATGTTTCGCAGCCGTAAAGTAGAACAGAACAAACTGCCGCGCAGTATACTTTTCCCTCGATTGATAGACAGATATCTCGCCTTCGCCATAGATGACGTAAGTTGGCGAAAGCTAAACAAGCTTTCTGAATCTGTCCAAAGATTCCGCCAGACACCAATCCATTGGAGCTGATCAGACTTCCAAGATAGGCAAAGTTGTCGACGCATCCAACTACTTCACTAATCATATTTTTATCGATATCTGATGCTATTGATTGCTTGGCGATTCTCCAGTAAGCTGACTGCACATTGTTACACATGTCAAGATAGATTTGATCTGCCATAACGCTGGAGACAGTGTGATCTCGTAGTGCCATTGTCAAATGTGTCAAAATTGACTGGGTAATAGTGTGTTTAGTCATTCCTACTTCAAACCAGTAATTTAACGACTAGACTTTTTCACAATCCAGGTGATTAATACCACTGAATCTTCAGGTCTGTAACAATTGCTTTAACCGAATATTCCTCTACACAGATTAAGTTTTATCGATTGTAATACGGCGTTTCTTAAAAGTATTTGCTTCATCTCAAGATTTACGACAAATGCTGCTTAATAACAGGTCTACACAGGCCTGTTGAGTGGGTCTTCATACTTAATAAAGGCCTTATTATTTTACATTCATAATAAAAACTCTCATTCCAAAACCAAACAGTGTCAGCTTGTGGCAGAAAAAAACAAAATATCAAACTCAAGAAGCCAATGATGGTAAGGATTACCTTTGTGAATCAAACGAAGTGATGAAACTGCATGCTTAGAGGGTAAGAAATCTGTTTTTACGATTATGCATTTAGAGCCTATTTCAGGTGTTCTGGGTAGGCCCTAAGGCATACTGATAGACTAGTAAGATTTACGAAAGCGAATTCGGTGTTTTAAATTTCGACTCGGGTGTTAAAATGTTTTATGTTTTTGTTTTTCTCAAGGCTGTTCTCGAGGTAATCGCAAAAAGGTTCAAAAACAGAGACCGAATAGACATAAGGTGGGATTTCGTTTTCCTACCAAGTGATCAGCGTCTGAGACACCCTACTCGAACAAGTAGTACCAGCCGAATCGGCAAACACTTTCAGAAACGAATTGAAGCAGGAGTAAATTATATGGACGGACCAGATTTCGTCGTCCATTATATTCTTGGATCAGTTCGCGATGGAAACCCCAATAATCCATACACAAAGATTGTAACCCGTGTTGGAACTAATTATCACTATTGGCTAAATTCTTTTTATCCCAAATTATTTTATGACTGAACACCATGTAGGCTAACAGTTAATTGTTAGCCTACATGGTGAAACTAATTAGTTTCCGATCATCCATACACATGATTTCAACGAGGACTAGTAACAAAGAGATTGACATATTCAGATGGTTTTAGACGAAATAAAAGAAGCCGTCGCCTAATATGCTTCCGAATCTAGCAACAATGGACCACTTTTAACGTGTATACTTTTAGTAAGGAAATTAGCAGGACTTACTCCAAGAAACCGCGATTCACGCCTGAAGGTGTAAATATTGCAACTAAACGTCTACGCAACAAATAAACCAATCTTCATTAATAAATACAGTAATTCATATCACTTTTACTTGTTATCGTATGTAAATTATGTTTTTAAGATCCTAGTTACAAGTGAGCAATAGCAGCAATTAGGTTGATGTGACCTGTTCAGACTTTAGATTCAGGTTTGTGTAATAAGGACCGAAGGCCTACAGCCCATTTTATTCCTTTTCTAGTATGCTTCTGTGGAGTTCTAGTCTTCTCTTGAATGATTCGATTGAAGGTGTGGACATCACTGCATCGGGTTTGATGACTCGGTGTGAAGACCTGTATGCCACGGGATTTTGTTCGTTCTTGACTTTTCTACCCGCCTGCTATTTCCTCTAAGATGTCCTGATCTGGCGATAAGGAAAAGAGAAGACATATCAGATCCAAAATCATTTCTTAGCTTTCTATGCATCGAAATCAGACCACCTCTTAATCTGCTATAGGACAGAATAAAGAAGTCTAGCTTTTCAAACTGCTCGTTGTATGGTAAACCCCAGGGTTCTGGAATTGAGTGGGTAACTGCCTTTTGTGCTTTTTCCAGGATATTCAAGTCACTTTTTAGACAGGCGCTTGCAGCCTGGACTCAGTTCTCAAGCTTCGTCCTCACTAAGGTTGTGTATACTGTAGTGAACATGGTAGTATCTAACTTGGTGAATGTCCGTACTAAAGCCCAGATTGCTTTAAACTCCTTGGCTGTGACCTCCCAGCAATGAACCATGGTTTTGAGATCATGGCTTACTGTCAACCCGGAATCCTTGTGAGACCGGAACACAGGTATAGCCACTTCCCCAATGCTGCACCTATTAACCTTTATATCCCCTAATTGCTTGTAGACACACTTTGCCAAGTTAATAGGCATCAGTCACTTTTTAGACCAATTAATCACATTATTCAAGTTCGCCCGAAGTACGCATGCATCTGAGTCTCCCGTTATTACTTGCCAGATTTTTGCATCGTCAGCGTATAATAACATTGTGGACTGTACTAAACTTGGGAGATCATTTACATACAGTATAAAAAGTAAAGGACCTAGAATAGAACCTTGAGGTACCCCAATAAATACTGGTCTCCAGTTGCAGCACTTGGAATTTATTCTTGCTTTCTGTCTACGACCTACTAGAGGATCCTCAAAACATTTTAAGAGAGGTCTGGCAATACCAGGATTTTCTAACTTCAATAGCAGTCTATTTGTTGGCACCTTGTCAAATGCCTTACTGAAGTCTACGTAGACAACATTCACTGAGTTTCGTTGTCCAGAGCTTTTATCCACTGTGCCCTTGCTATAAGGAGGTTTGTTGTGCAAGATAAACCATTTCTGAAACCATGTTGTTTGTTTAACAAGTCGTTGGTTGTCATAAAAGTCATTATGGTTATTTTGTCTATTCTTTTCAGTATTTGAACTACGACACTGGTAAAGCTTGCAGGTCTGTAGTTCGATGGAAGTCGTCTTGGTCCTGTTTTATGTATGGAAGTGACGATTACATCTTTCCACCCCATAGGTAGAACACCTTTGTCAAGTGACATATTGAATATCACAGTTAGTGGGGATGTAACATATTGTGCAATATGTCTCGGGATTTCGAGGTGTAGTTCATCCGATCCTGTTGACTTTTCCGTGTTTAAGGTGCTAACAGCCTTGAGTACATCGTCTCAATCAAAGTCCACGGTGATCAGACGGTTTGTCAACTTTGTATTTGGGTCTATTTCATCGTTTAGAAGATGCTCCTGAGTGAAATCTGCCCCAAAATAGATTGCTTTTTTCTGATCGTACTCTATCATGTCAGATCCACTCTCTTCCTTAATTGGGTTGGAAATTCAGTGCTGCATCCTTTTTCTGTAATTTACATATGAGAATAGTCTCTTAGGTTGCTTGAGTAAAGATTGTGCCGACTGTATTTCATATTTTCTCTGAGCATCCGGGATTTTTATTGTACACATATTTCTTAACGACCCGTAGCGCTCGATCGTACTTGCTGTACCAAGGCTGCTGGCAACGTCCCAACATTTCTTCTTTTGTCTTACTAAACGTCGAATACCCCAGCCTATCAGGGGATGGACGTGCTTTTCCTTGTGAATGTCTAAGGTATATCGGTTGAGTTGCCCCATTGTATAACTGCCTGAAATGAGTCCATGCCTTTTCTGCTGATGATTCTGAGCCAATTTTCCAGTTTTCAGCTGATTCTGCAGAGTTTATCGCCTCCATGTCTGCCTTCCATATGTGGGGACGGGCCAGTGCAACTGTTTGACAGACCATCTAAGCCATGAACTTGAATAAGATGGCTGCGTGGTCGCTTCTTTCTAAGGTGGTAGGAAAGTCATTTGACCGACATCGTCATCGTGTGTGAAGACTAAATCCCAAAGAGAAGAGAAGCTTCTTAAGTCATATCTTGTGGGATGTTTGGTGTGTTTTAATGAAGCTAGTGCAGTTGAGGTTTCTAACAGTTTACAATCAAATGACGTAGTCAATGACCCTAATTCCAACTTTACCAAGTTTATATACGGTACATTTGATTCGCCTACTATAGTGCTTTTATCCTTATTACACCAGGACTTAAGTTTGCCTGGGAGGAAGTCATCTGCTACGCATTCTGTACTGCAGTATACTACAACTAATTCAATATCTTGCCGTCTAAATTTCAACTTGCAACGCACCAGTTCACATGTCCCTGTATCTTGTTTCATTGTCTTAACAGCTCATATGGTTAAAGTAATCTTCGTGTACAGGATAACCCTCCCTTCTTTACGGTTTAATCCATCAGCCCTATTGGAAAAAAAACCAGTCAGCTGAATTTCATTATCAAACACTTCTGACGTAAATCATGTTTTTGAGACAGCAATGACACCCGGTTTCTCTATATCCACCACTGTTCTGAGCTCCGCCATTTTATTTAGTAAGCTGCGAGTTTTTGTGTAGTACACCTTTAATTCTGTAGAGGACTTTCCTTGAGCACCGAGAATGTTTTGGGGATCGTTTTGCTCTGAAAACCCTTAAGAAAGAGGTTTCTATGACCGTTTTGGTGGCGCTCATTCATTTTCACTTCTGTCGATCGTCTCTTAATGCGGTTAACCAGGCTGAGATCCTCACGGACGTCTATTCTGGATTCGAGTAGTTAGCGTGAGTTTCCAAGTATCATGTTCCTTTCTTCAGCCCATGCAAATGCAACCTTCAAGAGGCTGTTTTTCTGAGTACTTTCAGAATCTAGCTTTTGCCCTACTCTTTAAAGCTTTCAGGTGATAACTCCTGAAGCTGTTTCTGGGAATAGCTTGCTTATTAAGAACTTAATGTGACTGAGATCATGCCCAAATTCGACCTTGGGTTCCTTCTTGGCAGATTCTCTTCACTAATGAAAAAGGTCCGTCTGAACACGCTGTGGATATTAAGTTTCTGAAATCTTCTCTTCCCTGAAATTCGATTCCTATTCGGAGTTAGACACAGAGGTCACACTGTATTTACCTAATTTTCTTTTTCTGGGTGTGACTGTAAGCTAATCATTAACCTTATTTTCTCTCTTGATCATATCCTCTACACCGCTGAAACTTTGCTCCCCTGTAGTCCGTTTTGCGTTGATGCCTGTATCCTGAACTGAAAGCGTAAATTCAAATACCTTAGTACTGTCTATAATTGGCTTCTTCTTAGCGTGCTTTTTCTTGTTCCTTGCAACATGCCTACGTCGATATGCCTATTATCTGCTTCTTTAGTGGGGTCCACCTTTATGGTCTCACTCAAATTCAGAGCTAGGCTCGTGATGAAGAGTTTTAGATGTTGATCCTTCAGTGAGACAAAGAGAGTCTCAACCCGACGATGATAGACCTTTGACTTCAAAGATGTTTGTAGCATCCTAATAGACGATCATATGATGATAACTAATTGCCCTAAATAAACAAATTACTGACTATTTGACATTTGAGCTCACTATGTCATTCATTCCGAACACGAGTGCCCATACAAGATCACTTTTCAGATTATCGCAGAGTGTAGCCGCTTTTATAATTGATCGGCCTGAAGTCGTATGTTACGATGGTTTGGCCTACTGCCCGAATGTTTATATTACCTGAATGCCAGTGACTAATTCTTGCTTGTTCTGTGAGCATTACAGTAGAACTGATTTGGATACCGGCACTGTCCAGTTTTGTCGTACCAGGTCTGAAATATTCTGAGCCATGACTCATAACGTCTCTAGCCACTTTGTTACACCATCTCTCGGACCCCAGCCAGGGGGTCGTGAAGGACCAACACAAGTCAGCCCTTTGCAGCTTTCTTTTATACCAGGACACTATGTCATGCACTGACCACCTCTCCGCTTCTCCCAACCAGTCCCAGAGTCGGCAAGTAATGCACGACGTGGAATTCTCTGGGACAACATGCGTTGAACATGTCCAAACCATTGAAGTTGATGTTTCAAGATAGTGATACCAATTGTATTATCGTCTCTGCGCCCAAACACACGATGCCGAACCTCTGCATTACTGACATGGTGTTGCCACTGAATATCAGCAATCCATCGGAGACAACGATGATCGAACACAGAGAGTTGTCTAACGTCCTCAACTCAGAGAGACCAGGTTTCACAAGCATAGAGCAAAACTGCTCTCACCGACGCGTTGTAGATCCGACCTTTTACAGCCAGACTAACATCACGAAGGCACCAAAGATGGCCCGGATCGGCATAAGCCGCTCTGGCTTTCACTATACGTGAATTGATCTCATCACTCACGCCACCACCAGAACTCATGCGGCTACCTAGATACACGAAATTCTCAACTACTTCTATCTTTTCACCATCCAGAGTGAGTAAAAGATTAGAATCCTGCCAGTCTTGTAGAAGTACTTTGCACTTCGGAGGTGCAAAGCACATACCATACCTACGGACATTGATTGCCAACTGATTAAGTGCGGATTGCATGGCTTGGGCATTATCGCACAGTAAGACAATATCATCCGCATACTCAAGGTCGAGAAGTCTTTC